CTCACTGTTGACTTTAGACCTTGTCACATTATCAGTAATATCAAATGTTAGAACAGATGGAAAAAGTTCCAAAACATTTTTTCAGTAATTTCAAAAAAAAAAAAAAAATTTAAACCCCAGAAACAAAATAATTTCAGATAATATTTTGCTGTGATATTTTCAGATGTTTCCAGTGCTAATGTTCCTCATGGCAGCTCTTGTCGCTGCAGAGCCACTGATGGATCTCTCAGGCCCAGTAGAGTCTGATAGTGAGTCTGTCTCTAACTCTCTATGGTACGCTGTGATACTTATACTGTGTGTCCTGATGGAACAACGTGCTGTCTGAGTCCTTATGGCGTGTGGTCCTGCTGTCCGTACCCAATGGTAAATCAAAGTAAACTGTGTAACTTTTTTATAGTCTATTAAGTTTAAGGTTTAACCTTTGTTTGTTCTGCCCACTCCTTCAGGGTCAGTGCTGTAGAGATGGAGTTCATTGCTGCAGTCATGGTTATCACTGCGATTCGACATCGACTCAATGTTTGAGGGGGTGGATGAGACTGTCTTCTTCTCCTCAGCCGGCCTCCAAAGCTATCCAGAAAACTCAGGTATGTCAGTACTCTGCCTATAAGTAAAGCAACCTGCAACCAGTAAAGCAACCTGTCATGTTACAATGACCTACATACTAGACAATCTTTACAAACCATGTCATATGAATTCCAAGCACCATTTCCACCAGTTATAAAACACGGTTGAACATTTTCAAGCTGCAAACAATAATTTTGGAAGAAAAAAAATGAGGGTTCAAAAAACAGGTAACACTTTCTATGAAGCCTGTTTTTATAATGCATTATAAGGATATTCTTAATGCATTCATAATGCCTTATAAACAACCTTATAATATGTTGTATCATTATACACTCACCTAAAGGATTATTAGGAACACCTGTTCAATTTCTCATTAATGCAATTATCTAATCAAGCAATCACATGGCAGTTGCTTCAATGCATTTAGGGGTGTGGTCCTGGTCAAGACAATCTCCTGAACTCCAAACTGAATGTCAGAATGGGAAAGAAAGGTGATTTAAGCAATTTTGAGCGTGGCATGGTTGTTGGTGCCAGACGGGCCGGTCTGAGTATTTCACAAACTGCTCAGTTACTGGGATTTTCACGCACAACCATTTCTAGGGTTTACAAAGAATGGTGTGAAAAGGGAAAAACATCTAGTATGCGGCAGTCCTGTGGGCGAAAATGCCTTGTTGATGCTAGAGGTCAGAGGAGAATGGGCCGACTGACTCAAGCTGATAGAAGAGCAACTTTGACTGAAATAACCACTCGTTACAACCGAGGTATGCAGCAAAGCATTTGTGAAGCCACAACACGCACAACCTTGAGGCGGATGGGGTACAACAGCAGAAGACCCCACCGGGTACCACTCATCTCCACTACAAATAGGAAAAAGAGGCTACAATTTGCAAGAGCTCACAAAAATTGGACAGTTGAAGACTGGAAAAATGTTGCCTGGTCTGATGAGTCTCGATTTCTGTTGAGACATTCAGATGGTAGAGTCAGAATTTGGCGTAAACAGAATGAGAACATGGATCCATCATGCCTGTGTTACCACTGTGCAGGCTGGTGGTGGTGGTGTAATGGTGTGGGGGATGTTTTCTTGGCACACTTTAGGCCCCTTTTAGGCCCCGTTTAAATGCCACGGCCTACCTGAGCATTGTTTCTGACCATGTCCATCCTTTTATGGCCACCATGTACCCATCCTCTGATGGCTACTTCCAGCAGGATAATGCACCATGTCACAAAGCTCAAATCATTTCAAATTGGTTTCTTGAACATGACAATGAGTTCACTGTACTAAAATGGCCCCCACAGTCGCCAGATCTCAACCCAATAGAGCATCTTTGGGATGTGGTGGAACGGGAGCTTCGTGCCCTGGATGTGCATCCCACAAATCTCCATCAACTGCAAGATGCTATCCTATCAATATGGGCCTTGTCAGCACCTTGTTGAATCAATGCCACGTAGAGAATTAAGGCAGTTCTGAAGACGAAAGGGGGTCAAACACATTATTAGTATGGTGTTCCTAATAATCCTTTAGGTGAGTGCATAATCATAACACTATTAATAATACTTACCTACTTATTAGATTTGGTAAAACCTTGTAATTGTTGTTATTATGAATAAAATATGATTTGCATTGTGAATGTATTGTTCCTTTGTACTTTGATTTTACCTCAAGGGAAATGTCTTATAACCACTTCATGATACCTCATGGTTGCTTAAAGGAAGACCCAACTTTTGTTTACTAAAGCAGACAAAGACCACTTATAAATATTACAACCTCATTATAAAGCTTTTTAGATGTTTAAAAGAAGACTTTGTTTCTTTCCCCCGCTTTACTTTTAAGCAGTAAAAGACCACTCATAAAATAATATTGTGCAGATATTAAGTATATAATGTCAAGATATGAGACTTGGAAAAGCAAAGGATATGAAACTGGGGGATATACTGTATAATCCATTATAACTTCAGTGGATAAAATTATGTTCATTGCATCCTCACGCCATAATAAGTCCACAAGGGTGGGAGGGTGGGCGCCCTTGAGGCTGTCGAGGGGTGGCTTAGGCTGAACAGTAAGTCTCCACGGGGGTATCAACATCACAGGTAGCCTGGAAGGTGATGGTAGCTCAGGGAGCCTGGAAGGGGCCAGCATCACATACCCCTTTTCCACCAAGGCAGTTTGAGTCCTGGTTCAGAGCCAGAGCCTAGTTTCAAATCAGTCCTTTATCTTTCAACACCCAAAGCACCAGCTCTGAACCAGGAGGTTCGTAAGTAGCACCAAAAACATTACTGGTCTAGAGGTAAGAACCACTCGCGTCAGGGGCTGAGGACGGGGTTACCGTGACCAACAAGACGAACAGAAACATGTGACCGCCATTTTTGAAATAGCAGCTAAAAACGATGGATGTGATTAAGCTAAAACTCAAATTATACAAATTAAGGTTGCATGTATGGTTGCACATTAGCTGCACGCACATGTTGGATTCGCCGTGTTTGAATGCCGATGTAGGTTCGCAAAGCCATGAGCATCAATAGTAACACAACGTCCGCAATTGTTGGTTGTGTTTGGCGGTGCCGCGCTAGTGTTGCTGAGAAAGATGAGACGTATACAGTGACGTAAGACCTGACCTGTGGTTGCTCTCTAGCCCGTGGAAAGGCAAACCGGTTCTTAGAAGGCTTGCCAGTCGAACCAACTCTGAACCAGCAATAGTAGCCTACTAGCTCTGAACTAGCACCCGGGTCATGCTGGTGTTATGAGGATGAGTGTGTGGCCCAGACACACATAGCGGCAGCAACATATATTGAAAGGACCACGTAATCGTGGCTCTGAATGCACAACATGCATTGGCTCTAGAATTTTCCTCTTGAGAGCAGGCTCGGGAACTTCACTCTCAGGAACGGACTCGGGAATTTCACTCACTGGAATGGACTCTAGAATGTCTTTCACTGGAACAGACTCAGGAATTTCTCTCTCACTGGAATGGACTCGAGAATTTCTCTCTAGCAAAAGAACTAGAAACAAAAATCTCTTGACTATGAAACTGAAACAGAACAACTGGTAAAATGTGACTTTAACAGAACAAAACACAGGGCTTAAATACACAGGGCAAACAAAGGAACTAATGAGAATTAACTACACACCTGAACTAAAACTCAAATCAATCTGTAACTATGGTGACAAACAAGCAGGGAAACTGAGAGAACAGAACTAATTAACAGACTATAATCAAATGACAAACTAAAACAGTAGGAAATATAATTCAGATATACAAACATGAATGAAAACAAACTCAAAACGTGACAACATCCTTATAATGCATTATAAATACAGGCTTTATAGAAAGTGCTACCAAAAAACATTCTAAGTTTTCAATTATCATAAATAGTTATTTCAAATTCTCTCGTTTGTTAAAATAAACAATGTGGCAATGAATTCTTTAAAAGCAGAAATGTGCTTTAGTTCATTACATTGTTATATTATATTTATGTGAGCTGTAAAAATTGAAATGGTTCTTTTAGAGATTTTTCTAAGTAGGTGAGTTTCTGGTTATGTGTTTACTAACATAATTCCTGTGAATGTAAATGACCAGGCTCTTGAAAGGCAGACCCAGACTGAGACGGTTCATTGTGAAGGAAACATCTACTGTCCAGCTGAGAAGTTCTGCTGCAAGACAGCATCCGGCCAGTGGGGGTGCTGCAGCGGTAAAGCTAACTTCATCTTGCTGTATTATTAATCATGCTTAATCATCAAGCCAAAATAAATGTGGATTATAGATTTAATATAACCTATAAATATAATAAAAACTCAGTCATGCAATGTAAAGTTTTGTGTCTGCTCATATTAAAAGTTGCATTTCTATCTTTTTAGGGATGGAGTTGTAAGTACAAACCCCCATGAACCTCTTTTCAGAGACTGGTAAAGTGCAAGAGGCTTTCAAACCTCACTGTTACTCTTGAGGGAATAGATTAATCCTACATCCAAGCTGAATTCATCTTTTTATTAATTCCAAATAAAAATTGATTGAATTGCATTGCACTTTTAATAAAAGATTTTGTTTTTGAGAAAGTGTTTATTTTAATCATCCATCCATTCCTGGTATTTTGTCTTGTCCATGAGTCATGAGTGTTTATGAATTCATCTTTTTAAGACCCCCCTGTGGTGAAAATCAAGTTTTTAATGTTGTTTATATGTCTATGTGGTGTTTTTAATATGCTTTAAGACAAACCTGTAAATTATGCCAGAATTTTCATTTTTGGGTGAACTATCCCTTTAAGAATAGCCTATATACGACACCTTTGACATTTTCACGACTTCATTATAAGAGTTCGTTATAAAAAAGGTGATTTAGCCAATCGACATTTATGAATAAAGAATTAACCGTTCAGGATAATGAAGTTTACGAAATTGTCTCGATGCTGATGATCAGTGATCCACACGTGTGTCACACGCCATCACTCCATTGCTCCCCCTGCATAACGCGTTTCTATAGCAACATCTAACGAAAGACTTCTAAGGTTAGAGCCCAGAACTAACAGAAAATGTCGGCAATGAACAGAAAAATTATTCAAAACCTCGCTGAAACTTTATGCAAGCAAGTCAAACATTGTAGGTATCTCTTAACTAATGTTTTTTCTTCTTATGCCAGTTAATATTGTTATTTACAATATGATTCTAATAAAGCGTTTGCTAGCAGCTAGTTCATCACCCGGATATGTCCTGCTTTATAAAGTTAGTTAACGTTACAATAAATACCGTGTCTGGTGACTTGTATTGTGACTGTGCTGTAGTTAGTAAAGCAGAGTCGGGGTGTCTGATAAGGCTGTTCAACGGTCTGGTGGGAGAGCAGGCGGAGAGAAGAGCGGCTCACGGACTCGACCGGGTCCGGTTCAGAAATATCCTGCACAGCACATTCGGGATGACCGAAGATGTGATGATGGATAGAGGTAACTTACACTACTGACTTGGACGAGTATAGACCGTAGTCTGGTCTGCAGCATACTGTATATTATATTATATAGTGGTGTGTGAGAGTATAAATAAAATATAAAAAATGCATGTAGAGCACCGGTCAAAAGTTTGGAAACATTATTAATGTCTTTGAAAGAAGTCTCTTATGCTCATCAAGCCTGCATTTATTTGATGAAAAAAACGTAATATTGTACAATTTAAAATAATGGTTTTCTATTTTAATACACTTTAAATCAGCCATTAGTTTCAGGGTCACGTGATCCTTCAGAAATCATTCTAATGTGATAATAAATCAGCATATTAGAAATCATTCTAATATGCTGATTTATCATCCTGTTTATGTTGAAAACAGTTGTGCGGCTTGATATTTTTTTTTTAATACAAAAATATGTTTCGTCAGGATTCTTTTTTGAATCAAAAAAAGGATGTGTTAAATGATAGTAAAGATTTATAGAAGACTTTTTATTCATCAATGAATCCTGAAAAAAAGTATAACAGGTTTAAAAAATATTAAGCCCTAAACTGTTTCCAACATTGATAATAATTGAGTATCGAATCATCATATTAGAATGATTTCTGAAGGATCATGTGACACTGAAGACTGTAATAATGCTGAATATTCAGTAATAATGCTGAATATTCAGCTTTGCATCAAATAAATAAATTATATTTTAAAGTATATTAAAATAGAAAAACATTATTTTAAAATGTAATAATATTTCACAATATTAAATTTTTCTTCTGTATTTTTAATCAAATAAATGATGAGCATAAGATACTTCTTTCAAAAACATTACAAATAGTAATGTTTCCAAACTTTTGACCGGTACTGTACTTATTTGCGGTTTAACAAATATAAGGATATTAATTCCTGTCCATAATAATAAACCTGTGTAATATTTTCTAATTCATGAAGTACTATTGAAATAAAAAATAGATTAGTCTGAGCCTCAAGGAGGATATTAACCATTTTTGCATTAACCCCTTGTGCATTCAGTTTTTCGTGTCTTTGACAAGGACAATGACACCTACGTAAGCGTCAAAGAGTGGGTGGAAGGTCTGTCTGTCTTTTTACGAGGCACGCTGGATGAAAAAATCAAATGTGAGTTCTTTATATTTTATACTTTATAAGGTTATGTACATAAAGTTCATGTTATAAAATATATACATACTGTATATAAAATATTCCATGTATAATGCCTAGTCTGCTTTGACGTATACGACCTGAATGGGGACGGATACATCTCACGGGAGGAGATGTTTCAAATGCTGAAAGACAGCCTCATCAGGCAACCCACCGAAGAGGACCCCGACGAGGGGATTAAGGATGTTGTGGAAATTGCCTTGAAAAAAATGGTACTACTATGTGTCAGATTCAGAACATGTACATGGAATATTTTACCATTAAGTATAAAATATATGTATCTTTATTTTTTCAGGATTATGACCATGATGGAAGAGTTTCTTATTCCGATTTTGAGAAGACAGTCGTAGATGAAAACCTTTTACTAGAAGCTTTTGGCAACTGCCTCCCAGATACGAAGGTAGAACTATTTGTGCATGTAAAATGTATTGTAATTTTAAAAAGAATGGCTCTTAAATGTTTGTTTTTTTTCATTTGTTTGGCAGAGAATCCTGTTATTTGAGCAACATGCATTCCAGGAACCACATGAACATTGAAAAGAACCACTGAATTTTGTACATGAAAAAAAAAGGTTTGTCAAAAAATTGTGGCTGTAAAATATTGTTCAATGTAAGACCACAGCTGTCTTATTAAATTCTTCTGCGTGGCTTTGCAGTAGTGGTCTTTACTTGTACAGGTTTGACCTCTGGAACAGATGTGACCTAAAAAAAAAAAGAATTTGTATCAGCAATATACCATCATGAAAAATTGCACACAAACATAATGTATTTAAAGGGGTCCTATTATGCCTTTTTACATTTCCAACTTTCTTTAGTGTGCAAAGCTGCTGTTTGAGCATGAAAAAGGTCTGCAAAGTTACAAAGCACAAAGTCACTCCAAAGGGAGTTATTCTCTTTATCAGTGTCACTGTTTCTGAACTCACTGAAACGCCTCCATTGTAGTTTTGAGTTTTCTTCCGAGAACTAACACGTCACAATATTCCTCATTTAAATAATTCCCGCCCATGGCATACGCAAAAAAACGTGGCAAGGCCTGGTTGAGTCAGTTAGTAGTTGTGTGTTGAAACTCGCGGTTACGGTAAGGGGCGTGGCATTTCCAAAACACGCTCGAAGCAGTTGACCAACCACAACAAAATTATCTAGCTGACCAATCAGAGCACACTGCACGTTTGGCTTAATAGGCCCCATTTACACTGCATGGTTCAAGTGACCCAAATCCGATTTTTTCCTCTCATGTGGCACAGATCATATGACCGGTGAACGTGTAAGCAGGAAAAAAAAAACGCATGGATTCCGATTTTCTCAGATCGGATTCAGGCCTCACTCATGTGGTAATAAATCGGATATGATTCGGATACGTGCATTTGCGTGTGCCATGTAAGCAGACAAATCGGATATTCCCCAGTAAATGCGAGTCGTACGTCATTAAAAAAAGTGACGTCAACTGAGGTGGACACCACCAACTGTCCATGCGTTTTTTTCAGGGATTTATTCATTTATTTTTAATGAATCATTACAACTTTCTAAAGTCCCTCGTTTATGGAAAGATGCCATTGTGGTGCCAATTGCGAAAAAAAGAAATTCTCCTTCTCTGGAAGATTATAGGCCTGTTGCACTAACCTCCTTGGTTATGAAATCTTTTGAAAAAATAGTAAGGAAGGAGATTTTAGCCTTAACACAGTCAGCACTTGATCCTATGCAGTTTGCATACAGATCTGGCAGAGGAGTTGATGATGCCACCTGTACCCTACTGAATATGATTTTAAGACATTTGGAAGGCAAAATAAATCATGTACGTTTGCTATTTATTGATTTTTCTTCTGCTTTTGATTGTGTTCAGCCTTTTATCTTGGCAAAGAAATTGATTGATAATTTTCACTTAGATTTTAACATTGTGTGTTGGTTGGTGGATTTTTTAACAAATAGATCCCAAAGAGTACGCGTCAATGGAGTGTTGTCGAATGTATTGTTGTCTTCTACTGGACTGGTACTCCACAGGGTTGCGTTTTGTCCCCTCTTTTGTTTTCTTTATATACTGACGACTGTCGTAGTACTTTTAATGGGAGACACATTGTTAAATTTGCGGATGATTCTGTGATTGTGTCGCTTCTTAATGAGTTTGAATCAGACTTTGGTCCAGTGACAGATCATTTTATCCAATGGTGTGATGCTTCATTTCTAAAAATTAATGCTTCAAAAACAAAAGAGATGTTAATTGATTTCCGTAAGAAGAACTCTGTACCGGTGTTGCCTTCTGTCATAAAGGGACATCAGGTAGAAGTGGTTACACAGTATAAATATTTAGGGACTGTAATTGATGACAAACTACAATTTGAGGCAAACACTGATATCATTAGAGGAAAGGCTCTTCAGCGTATGTATTTTCTAAGGAAACTTCGAACCTTTAACATGGATGTGTCTTTTATGAAAATGTTTTATACCTGTTTTATCGAGGCTGTTTTAAGTTTTTCTATTATTTGTTGGTATGGTAATCTTAATGTTAAGAATAGGAGGAAGTTGACACAAGCATAGTTACAATGTGTAGCAAGATAGTTGGGATTGACTTAAGGACTATCACACAAATTTATGAGCATAGGATGATTAGGAAGGGCCAGTTAGTCCTTTCTGATGTCACTCACCCATTATGTAGTGAACTTCAACTACTTCCTTCAGGACGGAGATTTAAACTCCCCTTGTGTAAATCAAATAGATACAGAAATTCCTTTATACCTGCTGTAATTAGGTTTTTAAATGATTGATTGTAATCTGTGTGTTGTGTTGTGATATGTGTTGTTATATGTGCATGTGTATACTGCTGTCTACACAAAGAATTGCCTTTGAGGAGAATAAAGTTTAAAGTTAAGAACTGAGATCACATGACTTATTATAGGCGCGATGGAGGACGAAGGATACACACAGTGGAGCAATGCGGAGGTTTCATGTCTTTTGAGTGTTTGGGTCGAAGAGACAGTGCAGGCAAAAATGCAGGGTTGTTACAGAAATAAATCCGTGTTTGAAGACATTTCACGAGATATGGGGAGGCACGGTTTTAAGCGCTCGTGGCTACAGTGCCAACAAGGCACCTCTTTTTTTCTCCGCCGTACGAGACCAATGTTTTGCTGACTTTTTTGCTGACTTTTCAAAATATTGTGGAAAGCAAAACACTGGATAATTTTATTCGCATCTGCATCCATTGCATTTCGTGCTGTTTTACTTCCTTTTCCGGGTCAGAACGTCTACATTTGGTAGTTTCAGCAGTGTATAGTATAAATGCAAAAATCGGATACGGGTCGTATGATGTAAGCGGGTTGTCAAAAAAAAAAAATCGGATATAGTCAGAAAATCGGATTTGGCCATCAAGACCTGCAGTGTAAATGCAGCCTTAGAGACAGGAACTAAACCGAGCGTTACTGACAGACTGGGAAGAGAGGAGCTGCAACAATGTCATTTTTTTTTTTTTTAACATTCAAGCATGAAAACCTATTCTAGTAAAAACACAATCAAGACTTTATAAAAGGGCATAATTGGTCACATTTAATAGTATTTACAGCAAGAATAAAACAGACAAACTAACCTTAGTCATAGTTTGACGGATCAAATTGGCGGTGACATTTAATGAATGATCCTCCATGTCCACCTTGGGCAGCTCTGGTAATTTTGGGCCAATTAGAGTCTCAGTTTCACTCAAAAAGAACACGGTTTCCTCCAATTTTCTTTTTCTACTTTCTAAATGTGTAATCCTTGGCATAAATCTAACAGGTTGTGACAGGTTCTCCTGCCTTTTACTCAAATCTCCCTCTTTAACACTTGAAGACGAGGATGACGCACTCTGCTTTGACGTTTCTGCGACAGGAGGGATGGAATTATGTAGAGAGCCCATCTTATCCTCTGTAGGTAATGTTGTTTTAGTGGTCCACTGCAATTGAAATGGCTGTGTAAAATTGGGAAGTCTATAAGAAACATCCTCCGTTGGGGGCAAAGGCTGCTCGGGAAAGCCCAAGTAGTCAGACTTTACATTCTCCCTTCTGGCGCTTGGAAAGTCTTTCTGGATCTCAGGAGCTGCAGATGCTCGTGTGTCCGTGCTCGATGACTCTGTGCTTACTTCCGACTGCTGATCGTATTGTTTTGCTGAAAAAAACACACATAAGTTAGATAGATGTTCTACAGATGTAACCTATTAAGAGACACGATTAAAAGTACCTGTGTTTTGGCTTGCTCTGTTAACATATCTCCTCCTGTCCTGTAACTTCTGCCTCGTCTCTTCCACAGTTTCGTACTCGGGGGCATAGCAGACATGCAGCTGACCCCCAAAGAAGCTCTTTTCATCAGTACGCCGTTTAGCTATCCTGCAAATTTACATATTGTAACATATGCACGTCATTCCGTGATACGAGTTATGCATATAATACTGAATGAAAAGCCTGCACCAACTTTGATTGTGTTATTATAGGCATTCAATAAAAATATAAATAATAAAATATAAATAAAATTATTCATAAAAGATTGATTATTTAAAACTGTACATTAGTAAAAATGTCAGCGTTTAATTCTCTTTATAATAATCAGCTTAAAGAGTCATGACCTTGAGTAAAAAAGTAAAGTGTAATGATCTGTTAACTATGGAAGCTCGTTCCTGCCACAGAATTTAAAAAATAAAAAGGTATGTGACTTTTTATCATCTCACATTTCTGACTTTTTCCTTGCAATTGCAATATTACATCCCCAAAAAATCCAGACCTTTTTTTCCTCAGAATTGTGTTATAAACTCGCAACGCTGAGAAAAAAGGTAATCTTTTTTTTTTTTACCTCAGAATTGGACTTTATAACTCACAATTGTGAGTTGATATCTCACAAGTCTGAAAAAAGTAGTAAGAATTGTGAGATATGAACATGGTTGAGAGAAAAAAAATATATAATTGCGAGATATAAACTGGCAATTGTGAAAAGTCAGAATTCGAGTTCTCTCATAATTCTATATTTCTCGCAATTACTTTATTCAGAGGCGGAAACAAGCATAGTTCCATAGTTAACCCTGTTAATTTTGTTACAAAAGATTTTATTTAAAATAAATGCCATTCTTTTGAACTTTCTATTCATCAAAGAATCAAGAACGTGTTTTATAAGTTTTCACAATAATAAGAATATATAAAAATAAGAATAATGTTTTATTAAGGATCATGTGACACTGAAGACTGGAGTAATGATTCTGAAAATTCAGCTTTGCACCACAGGAATATATTACATTTTAACATTTATTAAAATAGAAAACAGTTTTTAAATTGTAATAATATTTCACAATATTATTGTTTTACTGTATTCTTGATCAAATAAATGCACCCTTGCCTTGGCAAGCATGCATATGACAGAATTTGTAAAATCACCTATTTTGTGGAATGACCCAGGTGGACTAAAAGTGAAGTTCCTCTGTATAACTCTAGCACAAGCTGACTTTGAACATGTTTTAGTCTGTCCTTACCTTGCACTTGTCAGCTTCTGGAATTGAAATAAGTAGACTTCAGTGAACTGCTCTGCTGGGTATTCATCAAGTGCCCTGTACTCCTCGACCACTCCATAGAGAGCAAAGAGCTGCACCAGCTCTGCCATCACTCCAATAGCGGGCACTCCTTGAACTAGCAGGAACCGAGACTCCAAGTTGATGGTGTATACCTGAAACCAGCGATTCAGCCATGGACACAGTCTTATTATTTTCACTCTGGGTGTCACTCTGATTGCTGCATGGTACGATAAGCCAAAATACAGTGCTAACTAAAACAATTTATAAAATAAACCGACCTTAACAGCTCTTTGGCGTCTTCCCTCTCTGTATTTTGCGCGTGTTTGGGCAACATTTTGTTGCTCGTGGTGTTTATACACTTTTTGTGTGTCCCACACAGAAGGATTAGCGACTGAAATGTCCATTTGTGTGGTGAAGTCAGCGCCCGAAGAAAACAAGTCACGGGGTTTCAAAATACAAGTCCCAATTTTTTTGTCAATCCTTTTAATTTGTTATTGCATTGTTAATTCATCATTATATTTATAATGATTAATTTAATCAATGTAATGTATTAAAAACAATTAAATGAATATAATCGAAATGTAGATTTAAATATACTTAATTAAAAAAAAAATTCAATTAACTTTTTCATTTGTTCAAGTGTTTTTCTTATTGATTTTTTATTGATTTAATACAATAAAATATATTTAACTATTGAGCCACGTTCTGTATTATTAAACATTTATACTGTTAAAAATGAATTTGTCAAAGACCACAGGACCATTTAAGAGAACTATAAAAAAATAAAAAAAGATAAACGTGATTAAAATGGTTAAAACGAACCCATTTTAATCTACTTAATTTCTTATTTAATTTAAAGTATAAGTGTTCATTTACATTTCTAGCAAATGAATAAATAATATCCAACTTTCTAGGCTACTAAACGATTAAACCTAAAACAATTCACATGGGTCTTTCGTGCATTTGTAGTATAAATAGGCCTACAGTAGGCCTACAATATTTCACAAGATAATTAATAATATCCATTCCAACAAATGGTCCTTTCGTGCATTTGTATAAATAGGCGGTTTAATATTTCATAAGATATGTCATCAGATTCTCGACAAGACAGAAACATTAAGTTCCTCTTTTCGTTACCTTCTCATAATTTAGTCATCACATTTACATTTGCATCCTTCCTGAATCAAAGGCTGAGTAAAATGTCTTTGGATGTTGTCTACTCGGATGTCGTATTTGTGAAAAGAAACGAGGTTGGCAGTAACGATCCAGATCAGAGTCAATTAGGTGAGTTTTCAGTCAGTTTTCAGTAGGAGTTGTTTTTGTATTTTTTTGTTACTTAACTGCATGCATTTGTGTAAATGCTCGCCCTGTTGAAGAGAGAGTGAGTATGTCAACCATATTTTTCCAGTAAAATTAAGATAGCTATTTGAGTTCAGAGACGCATCAGGCTAAACATTAATAACGTAAATCAAACATAACTCAAGTAACATGACATAAAACTGGGAAGTTCATGGCAGGATGTTAATGTTCTTATGAAATCATAGCATCAGTAGGCCTACAAAAAAGCACATTGACCACAAGCCAATTGATCCTTGTGCTCGTTTAAACTGTTTTATCTGTATAGCCTATGCTTGATAAAAACCTTAAATTGTAATTTGGCATAATAAAACACTCTCTGATATCAATTCTTGTTGGTGATTCTTCTTAAGCTTCGCAAACGACCAAACTTGAAGAGATAGTTCACCACAAAATTCAAATTTTGTCATCTTTTACTCACCATCAAGTTGTTCCAAACCTGAATGAGTTTCTTTCTTCTGTTGAACACAAAATAAAATATTTTGAAGAATGTTGGTAATCAGAGAGTTGATGGACCCCATTGACTTCCATTGTATTCCCCCCCCCTATTATAGAAGTCAATGGCTACCGTCAACTGTCTGTTTACCAACATTCTTCAAAATATCTTCTTTTGTGTTCAACAGAAGAAAGAAACTCATACAGGTTTAGAACGACACGAGGGTGAATAATTGAAGACACAATTTTCATTTTTGGGTGAACTATCCCTTTAAGGTTTTAATCAAATATACTTGATCAAAACCTTAAATTGTGATTAAGCATATTAAAACACTCTCTGATATAATTTCTTGTTGGCGATTCTTCTCAAGCTTTGCAAAAGACCAAACCATGTGGTGACTTTGTTCGACTGTTACTAACGGCTCTGTGTGTTCTCCTCACGAGTGGACTGGTCGCACTCAGCTTCCAATGTACGTATCCTTCTTCACACTTATTTTAAAAAATCCCAATTTTTGGATTGATTGATTTTATACTTGCCACAAATTTTGGATCCAAATGAGTAACATTTTAATACACAATATTATGGAAGCCAATTTTTTTCCATGCAATTGCGAGCGTAAGCAAGAACTGTGCGTTCCCTGGCTAAACTTTTGGGTATACTTTGCAAGTGAACGCTAAGTTTTAAGTTTTCCCTACACGGACATGGTGGTGCAAAAAAAAAAAAAAAAATAAGATGGGAGGAAAAAATATAGGCTATTTAAAAAATTTGCGTTCGCTTGCGAAACTTTTGAGTTCTTTGCAAGAGAACGCAGTTTCTTGGGGGAACCCAAAACATTTGCGAGAGAAACCAAAAGCATATAGACATAAGCTTTCCTCCCATCTCTTTTTCCATCACCATGTCCCTCTAGGGGCTCAGTAAAGTTTTTTTGGAGAACACAAAAGCTTTCAAATATATTTTCCCACCACCATTTCCCTTTAAGTGCTCCATAGTAGCCTACACATCTCGCAATTTTTTTGAATTGTGAGATATAAACTTCTATGCAATTTTAATGAAGGGTATGTAACTATAACTTTTTGTTTAGATGTGTACACAGAGAAAAAGCTTCGAGATCTTCAGCAGCTCCACTCTGCACTGAATGAAACCTTCACAGGTAAATACTCTTATTACACTGAGAGCTGTCCGATAGCTGTCCAATAAACAAAGTACCAGTAATGTATTATATCATAATAAACACACACCACAGCTAATAGGGAACGGTCTCAAATTTGTGGTTCTCTCAAATTTATGAACAAATGCTTTTTCAGTAACGTTAGTATAACATTCATTCAAAGATATCTGGTGTTTAATAATATTCTCACAAAGTTTGCACAAAAACATTTATACATCGTTCATGGAATGTTTTTACCTGACACATTTGGTTGGATGTTCGCCTAATTATTCCATAACGTTCCCTTAATGTTTGCAAATTGTTCCCTTAATGTTTGTATAACCAAGAAAAAATGTTTTTAAAACATTTTAAAATGTTCAGAGAACATTCAAAAATGAAATTTAAGACATTTCTCGGTACTTCAAGACATGCATCGCTGGCAACAAAAACTGTCCAAGGCTCTGGATGACAGTGGTAAGTGATCATCACAATATTCGTCACCATGAAAGAGGGAAAATATTGATAACCCATCTCAAATTCTATAAACTTCAGCGTGTCCAAAGGATTGGGAGTATCATGCGGGAAAATGTTACTACTTCTCCTCAAACAGCCTGGACTGGACTAAGAGTCGAGATACCTGTATCTCAGATGGCGGTCATCTGGTGATCATAAACCTCAAAGATGAACAGGTTTGTCTGTATACTCACAAAAAATAAAATAAAAATCAGAAAATTATTTCTAAAGTAATGCAATGTAAATAACAAGCCAACACTTTGTCCTTGAAGGAGTTCCTGATGAGCATTATAACAATGAAACATAAAGAGCAGTTCTGGATTGGCCTGACAGACAAGAAGAAAGAGGGTCAATGGCTATGGGTAGACAACTCAGAACTTAGTCTAAGGTAGTTGAAATCTTTGCAATCATATGCTTCATTTACAGTTATTTTCTAAACTCCAAATATTTGACAGGTGTTGAGAAGATGCTCACTGAAATGTATCTTTTCTTTAGGTACTGGTTTGAAAATGAACCAGATAACTGGAGAGTAGAGTACAACACGGGAGAGGACTGTGTTATCATCAGACAAGCTGGTCTTAATAGCTGGTCTGATGCAGCCTGCAGTAAATCATTCAGAAGAATATGTGAGACCAGATCCTCCAGGCAAACATAAGGGCCTTACGGGCCCACAAGCCTGTGTAAGTCTGTGGCACCCCACAGTTGAACTGGGCAGGAATGGGTCCTCCTCAAACCCGCTTCTGCTTGTAAGTTTTGAGGCCTTGAGACCTTCTTGCCTCATGCAAAGTTCAGTGAAGTCACTGATTTTGAATCTCAGCTCTCTAAATTGGCCATCTTGGATTTTGAAAATAGTTCACGGCTCTTATTACTATTTTTATCCAATCTTCACCAAAGTTGGCTCAAGGTGACTTTCATGCAAACGTTATTGGATGTAAAAAAAGTTTCCATTCAACCTGATGTCTGTCAAAGACAATAAGTCGATATTTTTGTTCTGGATTTCCTAACAACACAAAGGATCTTCCATTGAAATGCAAAGCTCACTCTCATTAATTCAGCCTGGACACACTTTAGTCCACAGCTGAGCTACCATTGAAAGGAAAGGTCCTTAATATTAATTTAAGACCTTATTAATTTTTTCACTTGGATGTATTTGCTTTGGCAAAAAATATGTGCCCTGCCATGTATAAAATGGCAAGAAACCGTTATATACAACAAAAAATATGGTCATTTTTCTCAAGGTCATTGCTTTGCTTGATCACAGGCAGCTGTATCTTTTCATTTTTTCTAAATATATGGTCACATGAGAAATTGTGCAGTTATAAATAAATAAAATTATTTCTAAAATCACCAGCAGGGCGCTGTGACAAACAAAACTTCTTTTACAACATTTATATCATTGATGTGCTTGACCACGCAATCTGAGGCTGGGAAAAGTGAATTAAGTTGAGTGTGTGTGTGTGTGTGTGTGTATGCACCATGTGTTAATGTGCAAAATGGAAGTGAAAAGAGTTGGTTTCTGTATCTCTCAAGAAAATAAAGATGAAAGGCTTGGAGAATCAGTTTAATTTTTATAATAAAAACAAAACAAAACAAAAACAAGGAGTTATCCACAGTAAATTGCAGGAACATTCCAATCTATATGGACCAACATGGTTTGCAATGAAGAACAACAACTTCAAAATCTGTTTTTGGAATGATGCTGTCAATGTCTTTAGTGTTTAGTGTAAATATAGTACAAAGGCGGCGACTCGCAGGAACTGTGTGATTTCCATTTTCAATCTTCTTGTAGTTACAAGGATGCACAATGACAAACCACTTGTTTTCCAGCATTCAGAACTACAGTCAGTCATGTGTTCAGGTTTTCTCAGTTTTCCTGTATTAAAACGTTCAGAAGTCTGAGTCAGTGTCTGAATCGGTCTCAGAGGGTGTTTTGTCCGTCTCCATGTGCAGTTCTCTGACAGTAAGGATACGTGTGAGCATGCTGTCCAGAGCCTCATCACTCAGCGAGGTGGCTGTAAACCACGTAGGACTGCTGGGTACACAGGAGCGCTCAGGGCTCAGGTAGAATTTGGTCGCATGATGTCTTATGCCTGGTGAACTGGAAGAAACAACAGATAGTATGACAACCAAATACACCATGACTCAATTGATTAAAGTGCCCCTATTATGCTTTTCAGAAATGACCTTTCATGCAGTGTGTTATATAGCTGTTTGTGAATGTTAACGCTCTGTAACGTTTCAAAGATCAATAAGCACGATAAAAGTTGAGTTGAGTTGTGTCCCCCAAAATTCTTTTTTTTCTTTTTACAGAATGCTGCAGTGTTTATTATGATAATCCATATCATTCTTTTTTTTAAATTAATGTGCATTCATAATCATGACGTGTCTCAGCAGAGAGTGGGACTAAATATCCTCCACAACTGACTGTAAATCTGCCTCCATTTAGTTAGCAAACCTCCAATGATTCAATCAATTCCCAAAGGACGAAATAAATTCCCAGCCAACATTTTGTTTTCATCCGAGAAGCCGTTTCACTCAGATATACGTCACAATAGGGAAGAAAAGACTATTGTAACTTCTGTTTCATGCTGACTTTAAACAAACAGCTGACATACCATTTTGAGAGATAGAACTCGTATAGCTTGACAGGACAGCGGAGAGGATTGTCTGAATTCTGCCGTATCTTTAGCACTCTTTGCCGTTCATCTTCCTTTTTCCTTTTCTTTACAGGGACGCCATCTAAATTGGATAAAATGTATAAGTAGCAACAATTAACAACAACAACAACAAATAAACACTATAAAACATATGACAGACCACTGACCGTCCTCTTTCGGGGGGTAGAAACGTAGGTAGGATACTTTGCTGTTGGCTGGACCCCGAGAGTAGCGTTTGACATTAGCGAAAGAGAGGCGACGGTGCTGCTCCACTGTCTTGTAGTTGAAGAACTTGGTGAAGAAATAGAGCAACGTGTTGAGCAGCACGCCGGGTGAAAACGCTCCCAGCTGCTTACAGTCCCACAGATACTCCTCCTCCACACGAGAATGAACGTAACCTGCACAAACACACACAGGCGTTTGTAGCACAACAGAGAAACAAGCCAGTCTCGTGTCAGTTTCTGAAAATACTCACCAGTGGGCAAAATAGTTGGTTTCCATCCTTTAAGAATGTTGGACATTTCATGGCAGAATTTGGTGTAGAAGAGATCCGAGAAGATGTTCTCCATCCGATTGTTCTCAAACAGGAACTGTAAACATAATCGACGAGAGCCAATTAAACTAAATACAACATGACTGAATGTGTTGAGTTTGTGTGATTTCTTCTCGTTTCACCTGCTGGATGCCCAAGCAGAGGTAAAAGACGCTGTCAGGGCTGTACTTCTCTCCGTTGGGTCGACGGACTTCAGAGATGAACTTGCAGAGGCCGTAGCTCAGTTCAGCCGTGCAACACTTCAACAGGTCCTCCTTTATTGTCATAGAATGTGCTATGGATGATGAAGAGGACATGTTTAATGCGTAAATGGCACAAAGTCTGTCTCCCAAGTAAATTTATTTAATAATTTCAGTCAAGGTGATGTGGTCCAGTATTGCTTCTGAATTGTAGAAATTAGTTTGCTTTATACCCAACATTTGATCCCCAAACTGAAACTTACAGGCATATTTGGGAGTCTCCAAGTTGGGTTGGGCGTTCCTCCAGCACACCCAGTCCTTCCAGGCATTGACGCCGTACTCATGTTGCAGTTTGGAGAGGCTTTTTGGAAGCGCTGATGCACATTTACGACCCTACATGCCAACAAAACACATAATAATCAGACTTTCAGCTTTCCACAATGTAAATGGTTAGGGGCTGCACGTTAATGGTTAAACTGATAATCGTGATTTCGCACAAAAGTGATTAAAAGACTTTATTCTTTTTACATTTCATCAGAATTATTGCACTTTCGCCCAAGCACAAATCAACTCATACGCAGGGTTTATTTTCCTAATATCAATTCCAATAATTCCAAATAATGTTAACGGTTTTCTATTAAAACAACAAAAAAACCTTTGTATTATAGCACAGAGGTTGCTGTAGTGCATTTATTTAAAAAACACATATCAAAACAATATAGTCGAGATTCATAATTGGATTTATTAGTTTGTCATTGAGAAGGTCGTGAGGGAACACAGAATGGCTGTCCATTTTTATTTCAAACACGGTCAATGTCACACAGAGACCAATAGAATATGCAGACTTCATATTTCAATAACAGTCTTTTTGCCATTTAATATTCAGACAGTAGCTCATATTGTGGTTTGATTAATTGTACAGCCCTACTTTTGATTTATTCACTCAACATTCTGCATTATACAGTAAATTCCACTATATTCCATTCGCATTTTCCGCATAGCGAAAATCATAGGGTCCTATATGTTAGAGTTTTGATGGAGGTGAGGGATAATGCTGCTTTAGCTGTTCTTACCTTTTTCTTCTGAGGGAAGCCGTCGTTTCCTCTCTTGCGAGATCTTCGTTTGCCAGAATCAGTGTCTTTTTGTGTTTGCTCTCTGAGAAGTTCAATGCTTTCTGAAATGTGAAAGGATAAAATATGGATGGAAGAAAACAAACAACTTGGATTGTGTTTGCGGGTTTGGACCTTTGACTCTTTCTCGGCAATTGACGAGATCGTCCATAATTTATGCCAAACGCTTCCCCACCATGGACCCTTTTCACAGACTGTGATGACACGTTTCCACAGTTCTCAACATCTGTAACATTTGTATATACATTTGTAACTATTGCGTTACATTACCATGTACACAACATTACCAACTATGACGACTTCCACTTCTGAGAACCCCGGAAATTTGAAAAGGGTCCATTGACAACTTATTCCAGCAATATGTGTTTTCACTGTTACGCAGTAGGGGGCATTGCTGGCGCTGGCTGGCAACTTAAAAATAAATACTCTGGCAGGGAAAGAGTTAATCCCAGTAGAAGCTCTTACCAACTGGGTAATCCGCCTCCAGGTCCATCTGGGGCTCTTCTGCTGAGGTAGAGACGGAGATCAGTGTGGCAGATCTGGATGGAGGAGGTCTTTCAGGCTCTGGAGGTTGATCCCATGTCTGAGCAGAAGACACCGAGTCCTCCTCCCAACTCAGATTGCTGGATAGGGCTTCAAAATCGAGGTCCTCCATAATGTTACCAGTCTGATCTGTGTAACAAAACAAGAAGCTTCAAAAGATACGGATGTGACCAAAACAAATGTACATTTGCAGATTTAGTACAGTGCCTAAAAAAACCATAACCTTTTGAAATTTTCCATTACATACCACTAGACATGATGCCTTTCTCCCTCTCTGTATCCTCAGCCACCATCTCCGCCATCATGAGGAGTTCAGCCTCCAAAGGGTCATCTGGGATCTTCTCTTTGATTTCCTGAATGGTCTTTACAATGTGCTCAGCGCTGTCCAGAGTCGTGGGGAAGAACAAGGGCACTGGAATCTGCAAAGAGAAATAGAGGCACATTTACATCATCGGACTACAAAGCTACTAGGGCTGCCCCTGAATAAAGTGTTTTTTTATAATCGACAAGTTCATTGAAGCCATTCGTCCACTAGTCTCAGTCATGTTTATGATATTAATTTAACTACATAAATATAAACCAGGGGGCTGTTTCTGACATCAGAAAATGGTTTGAGTTTCAGGACTGAGAAAGAATATTATATGCAACATTGCTAACATTGTTCTACATTACAGAGAAATACTAAACCATAAAAATGAGGCATTCAAATATAAATTAAGCACTTAAGCGCATGCATAAAGCTTGTCGCAGCGCATCAGAAAAAGTAATGATTATAAATGAGAAAAAAACAAAGACTGTCTGAGCATTTTAATAATTTACTAATAAACTAGAGTCAGTGCTGCAGACTCATCTCCCCAGTATAGTGGATGCACATATAGAGAGAATTGAATATTAAGTTAAACATTATGCAGTAAGGGGAGTACTACATTAGCTTCCACACTCATCGCGAACACTTGTATATTTGCCTAAGTACAGTTATCTAACTTAACATTAACATTAGAGTGGCAGGCATGTAAAGTTGCTAACATTAGGCTACTAACATGTAAAATAAGCCACGTTTGAGGTTGTTGAATGTTAGACGACATTTGAATTTCCTGCCCGACATAATTCCCACATGCGTCAGCCGTGTTAACGATCTGTGCATCACGGAGTGTGTGACTTTGCCAGTTCCTGTGGAGTTTTTTTTCTGCTACTAACGGACTAAATACAATTTGGTTGATTAAGCCTCTTCTCGTCGACGAACATTTAGTCGACTATTAGGGAGCAGCCCTAAAAACTACATTGAGCCACAGAGGCAACTGTTAACATATCTACTTTTAACATGCTTAAATGAATATTCCAGGCTTTAACATCTGTGACATGCTGTTCCTAAAGAAAATAATTTTGACTTAAAGTGAGGACGAGGAAGGGTAGAGAGTAGATGTACCGGAAGTGGAAGCCCTACAGACTGTGGAATGTATTGGGTGTAGAGATGCATGGGAACTGGCACAAAGACTGGCACCGGCACAGGCAGCACTATCACTTTAGGCTTTTCATCTGCAGGACAAAAGAGACGTCGACATACGCAACAGGTGTGGCAACATATATTTTGTTAAATAAAAAGGGAAAACAAACGTGGAAGATTTGTCCAGAATAAGGCTGCTAAAATAGAGAGTAGTTACTGTCACGCAGCTGGTTAATACCTATTTGTGTCTCAGCATCAGTCATGTGGGGTTTACAGGATGTGGCTTTGTTTTTGCTTATGGATTTATATGGCAAGTCCTTGTTCTTCCGGATTTGGGATGATGAGACAGGAGCTTTCACAGCATGTTTCTGTGAGCAGAGCAAAGAACAAAAGATCTGTTCACAGCAAATTTTTCAAATCATTGAAAAAATTAGCTGAAATAAAAATAACAATTGGAACAGTCTAAATTCAGATTCTGCTCTCAACAAAAATGAGTTATAGAAAATCTCATGTTTAAGACTGTGGGTGTAAATACAGATTTTTCCAGACAAACTCACATGTTCTGTAACTTTCACAGTAACAGCAGCTGGAACAGAACCTGAGGAAACAACGGGTTAAATGTGAGTGATTTGAGCAAGAAACAATTCATCTCAGTCTTATGCATTATGTATAAGTGTTCAGTTCAGTTTAAATGGTTAATGCTCCTGTGGTTAAATCACCTTTCGGATCTGTGTTTCTGTGAACACCTGGCTGTTTGTTAGACGCATTTGAAAGTGAAACAACACTGGCAATGACCGGTGTACCCGCTTTAGTACTTTGAGGGACTGCAGAGGTTACTGGATTCGCACCTGTGGAGAGAGTGACATCACAGGACTCCAGGCTGAGTGAAAGTGAAACATTTAGGATTTATCACACTGACCCCCAGCCAATTACAGAATCTACAGAATGAACCAAAAATGGAAAAAATAAAAGCAGTGAGAGAAAAGCAGACCGACCCAAATATCTAAGTAATCTAAGTTAATATAAAAGAGAACATACTCTGTGTGGCTTGCGATTGGCTTGTAGCTTTGATGACGGCTCCAGTGACACCCTGCAGACTGCAAAAGAACATCAGGCACCGCAGGCTGCAGAAATGCTTTATCTCACCCAGCCATTTCTCGGTCTCTGTCGTTTTCTTGGCCTGCCTGCACATGGAGCACTTTATTTCCTGTCAAAATTGTGCAGCAGGAACACTTAATGTTACTTTTTTTAGAAGCCACATTGTTTGCATAATGTCTCAAGTCTAATGTTGCAGAAAAATGGAACTTAGTATGGAACAATATGTGACCTCTTCATGGCCTTTTTTCTAACTATATGCATAACTAAACAACTAAATAACTACATAACTAAACTATATAACTAATTTAACTTAAAATAACTAACAACTAAGTCAAGAAGTAAATTACTAAGCAAATAAACAAAATAAATAACTACAAACTAAACTAAGGTCCCGTTTACATCTGGTATTAAGATGCATTTTGGTTGATCGGATCACAAGTGGACGACGCTAAATACAGGTGTAAACAGGGTCTAAAATGTTTTGAGCTTGTCCACTTTTGACCACTTCCAGAGGAAGTAGCTCATGTGGTCGAATGCGTTCGAACAACCACAAAAGGCCACCTAGCCTACTGACCTAATGGGTAAACATTGTGGGAAGCGCGCTAGACAGATCCTCAGCCGACAATGTTTTAATCCAGTCTAAGATTGGTTTGAAGATGAAAAGCGTACCAAGCACAAAGTTCTCACACCATTGTTTACCACGGTCTGGCGTCTGTCAAAACACAAATGAAAGATGATGCTATCTTTATGGTTTTCCGTCGTCTCCTGGCACGTTCATATGTAAATTACAAGCTTATTTAGTCCATTAGATCGAAAGATCTGAAGAAAAAAAAACATCCATTTACCCATCCATAGACCCTCCCCTCAAAGAAATCAGGACAGAAGTGGTTGAAAGTGGACAGAAGAGACAGACATAAAGACCAGGTAAAAACGGTTATGTGTCTCCCTCGTCTACTTGTTGTGATCCAATCGATCAAAAGACATCTTTATACCAGGTGTAAACAGGGCCTAAATAACTACATAAGTTAGATGAACAACAACTTAAATCTTTTAGATAGATTTAAATAACTAAAACAAATAACTAATGAAACAAAAGTAACAAATTAATATATATTACCTGACGGGTTAATGAACTATATTTTGACAAGCAATCTTTCCCACAGAACTCCTCTTGCTTGCCATCAAAGACCTCCGTCACCACAGTCTTCGAGGAGCTGTCACAGTAGAAGCAGTTGCGACAGTGTTTCTTCCCCCACCGCTTGAACAGGTTATTCTCAAAGAGTGACTTGCATCCTGTACAGAAATAAATAAATCCACATACACAAACTGACAAGCCACATTTGTAAAAAAAAAAAAACATTTCCAAACAATAAAATAATAAGATCTTAATAATGCTTTAGCTTACTCTCATTGCAGAAAGAACGGTCAACCTTGTTTATCCTCCTCACTATTTTCAGAGTTTTATTGAGCTTGCAGTTTTCACAGCGAGCCACTGCACTGTTGATCCTTCTGAACTCCTCAATACAAGCATTATCACAGAAAGCATACATTTTCCTCTGAAAGACCAGAAAAAAAAGGAAAAAAAAAAGAGGTTTAAGTCGACAACCAATAGTTTGGTTGGTTCTATTTTGTCTAAGTACTTTTAAATGTCCTAAATTAAAGTAGCTGTATAGTTTCTCTTGAAAATAATACTATAGTTTGGTTAATAATAATAAAAACAGGAACAAAAATAAAACCATTTTCAAGGGGTAATGAGATGAACTTTATGAGAAAACAATATGTGGAAAAACGTATTTTCTACCTTCTTTCTGACCCTGAACTGATCCATTTTAAGCAGCGGCTCCTTTAAGGCTTGTCAGTAAACAACCACTGTTATGAACCACTAAAGTCATTGCACAGGAAACAGTATCAACGGCCAGTAAGTGTTTTAAAAACATTATCCATATAAAACCATTTAAGTCATTTACAGACAAAGCATAGTGAAATCATTTACTTCATTGATGCAGCTGCTGTCAGGTCCAAAAAAGCTCTGAACTCTGACGTGATCTGGAACGCGTGCGTCAAAAACTGAACGTGGATCCATTTACTGTATTCAGTGATTATAATGGGTTCTATTTTATTCTATATTCTATTCTACATCCAGTGTGAAATGTCAGCCAGTGGGCGGGGCCTACGGTGCTATGATGTACATCTATTCGTCGATGTCTTGCTCTGGAGGCAGTGATATACAAATGTATTTGTCACAGATCCCACAATATCAAACAAGCCATTTTTGGAGCTTGATTAAATAAATGCTTTGTTTATAATGAAGAGGACACTAAGCTATGATGTTTTAATGGTACAAAGAGCTCTTATATGTCAAAAGATCAAGGCAAATTTTATTTCTCATGTCATGACCCCTTTAAAACCAAGTTTTATAATTGACCCAATAAAACAAGTGGGTCCGGTAGCAGTGAACAGGAGTACCTTGAACTCCAGCAGTTCTGGTCTGTGGAAGAATGAGTTCAGACACTGATAGCAGGGGATCTTGGTGACTGTCTGCACCGGACCACTGGGAGCGCTAGCCTCTGCTGATGAGCTGGACTCTGATGAAGCAGGTTTGGGAGCAGCAGGTTTTGGGGTAGATGTGGTGTTGGTTGTAGATGTTGCCATGTTCACCTGGTTGTTAGGTTTGGTCTTACTGGAGGATTCCTGAACCAAACAAAACCAAGATAAACACAAACTAATATCATTCAAATCGTTCAACATGTACGATTCCTATAATACTATGAAGAAATGTCAGTGTCAGATATAATGGTACTATACCTTATATGCTAGAACACAGGAAAAAGAGCAGAAGTTCTGAACGGATCCATCAAACATGGCTATGTGGTACTGAGGTACTAGTTTCAGCTTGCAGTTGTTGCATTCCACTGGAATACCTTGTTTGCATCCAGAGAATGACATTTTGTCAAACACCACACAGAAAAAACAACAACAATTGTGTATGTCAAATTGAATAAATGCGTTAATGGCATTAAAATATAATTTATAAAAATGTACTTCATTTTTTTATCTAAATAAAATGTATATAAAAACATGCACTAACGGTATATAAACTTAACTAATTAAACAATGGATTTTATGATGCCTGGGTGACCATCTATACTGTCATGTATTTATCTTTATTTAAAGGACAGTTCATACAAAAATTTAAATTCTGTCATCGTTTACTCACCCTCAAGTCATTCCAAAACTGTATGACCTTCTCTTTTTCTGTGGAACACAAAAGAAGATATTTTGAAAAAATGTTCAAGTATTGTTTGTTTATAGCTCTACACAATAAAAAAAGTCAATGGGGTCCAATGTTTTGTCAAAATATCTTCTGTTGTGTTCCACGGAAAAAAGAAAATGATACAGGTTTGAAACGATTTGAGGGTGAGCAAATTAGTTCTAGTTCTTATGGAGTTGACATTTCATAAAAATCTTAAATATACTCCCATACACTATATTGCACTTAATTTTATACACATAAAATTTGGGGGTCAATTCGATTTTTTTTTTTTAAAGAAATTATTTTACTCTGCAAAAAAGCATTACATGGATCAAGTGACAGTTAAGACATTTATTTTACAAGATTTCTATTTCAAGATATGCAGTTCTTTTTAAATTTTTATTCATCAAAAAATCCTTAAAATAAATTATCACATTTTTCATTGTTTTCAGCATTCATAATAATTACAAATATTTCTTGAGCAGCAAATCATCATATTAGAATGATTTCTGAAGGATCATGTGACGCTGAAAACTGGAGTAATGATGCTAAAAATTCAGCTTTGATCACAGGAATAAATTGCATTTTAATAATATAAAAATAGAAAACAGTTACATGAAATTGTAATATTACTGTTTTCCCTGTATTTCTGATTAAATAAATGCAGCTTTGTTTAGCATAAGAGACTTCTTTCAAAAAGATTAAAAAAAATCTTACCAGCCTCAAACTTTTAATGGTATTGTAGGTATTGGCTAATATCTTAAAGAAATTATCAGTATTTATGCTCTGACTCTAATTTTTGGAATGCACAGATACCATTTTTAATCGCACAGAGTTGTGGTAAATATATGTTCATGGTACCTGACGAACTGGTCTGGCCTTTACTCGCTGTGACACAGGAAGCGGAGCAGAAAAGCTCCCTGACGCCCACTGAGTTGGGACTGTCCACCGCATCTGCAGCCGGGCGCAGGGTGTGACACATTTTGCAGGTGACAAGTTTCAGACTCCTCTATAAGTGAAGATGAGTTTATCCAATTTATTTATTTACACTTATAATTCACTGTTAAAGTGCCCCTATTATGCAATTTTAAAGGTTTCTTATTTTGTTTTGGAGGTCTCCTGCAATAGGTTTACATGCATCAAAGGTCAAAAAACACTTTAATTTTCTCATAATATACTTTGAACATCACCTCTTTTCTCTCCTCTGATTGATCGGACAAGTTTGTTGATGTGCTGCTTACAGTGCGTGTTGGAAACAAAACACCCATTACTGTATCTGAATTTCAGCTCCAGAGGCTTCCTCAGCACTTGATACAAACAGTAACGATGGCGTCGGTTTTTCCATATTAATTTCAGCTAGAGTCTTCAACCTTTTGAAGTGCAGCGATGTGGATTTTAGGAGACAATAACTTTATTTGTCGTGCCCTTTGACCTTTAAAACTCTGCAGACCTTTTACAAATCACAAACAGCTATATTACACACTGCATGAAAGGTGATATTCGAAAAAAATCATAATAGGGGCACTAGCTTAATGAGTCCTATTACTGTTCCCTTGCAGTTACCTGTTTAAAGGCTAGGAGGCAGTTTTGTTTGCAGAACTTCAAAACTCTGTCCTCTATCCGCAGAGACGGACACTGACTGTCTGTGCCATAGCAGTATCCACCACAGTTCACACAGCTGTTCATGTTCAGCTTATTGGAGGAGCGGAACTGGTTGAAGCAGCTGTCGCTGCACAGCTTATGGATGGAGCCCATGAAGTTCACTTCATGACTATGAGTCTGAGAAATGACACAATTTCAGATCTTTAAAAACTCAGCCACAAAAAGTATATTAATTATACAATTAGAGCAACAAAATATGCCTTTACACTTTATCAAGTCTATTTCAGATTCGGCACAAAACAATATCACAGCCCTGCATCTTGGGGGAAAAAAATTCTACTGATTTGCAAAAAGGGCCTAATATTACCTATTTTGATGATGCAGAGTTAAAGGGGCTATGTGTAGGTTTTTACTTTAAAAAAATCTTTAAGATAGAGTCTTCATTCGTACATTTATGAGCCAACCATAATGTAATAGAAAGAATGACACCTTGACTGTCCACCACGGTTGCCTCTATCAGCCTGTAGGCTCAATTGTGTGTGTGGAGGAGTCGGGTCCGAATTGGCGTGAAAATTCACAAAATGTGACGTCATGCGCGTTCTCGTCTACATGGGCTTACATCCGTACGGCAGCCATTAGTAAGCAGCGGCAATCGCTAGCAGTAGTGTTTCAAATGGACTCTGCGGACGGAAAGAAGCGACCAGCCTCCAGAACAATCCAGATACCCACGGAAACTCCTCGTAAGTAAAAAAGAAAAGAAAAAAGAAGCCTTATCTAGTGCAGCCAAGGAGCGTGCGCACCGAGAACGAGCATGAGACTGGCTGCAGTTTCTCTAACGGCCACAGGTGTCAGTAACGGTTAGAAATTTCAGAACTTCCGCAATGCTCCTTTAAAAAATATCAATACACTTTTCCATCACATAGTTGTATTTTTTCTTCACAAAATAAGATTTTTCAAATAAAATAATTCTAAATGTATCAGCTTTAATGCACATATCAAAATAGCAAAAGCAGTCAAATGTGAAAGTTTTGTTTTTAATGATAAATGGAAGAATTCCAGATGTACAATTTAACATACAATCTGCAGTGGGGAAAAATAAATGTTTAAATACTAAACGACAATAAGCGTTGTGCTTTGCTACTTTTCTTATGAAACAAGTCTCAACTTCACAATTATGTCATTTTTAAAATCAACAATAAATATCGTTTTGACGATCTTTAATGTGATGTGACAGATCACTGTAGTTCCTCAGTTTAAGCGGAAAGTGAACTGATCATCTCTTCCTCTTTACTATTAAGTCATAGCACAAAATAAACATGAAGGAACATCAGAAGGTATGTTGTAAAAACTCAAAATGCATCATGTCTCATGTTATTGCTCAATCAGTGGAAAGACGTCAATAAAACAGCTTGTATCACGTAACGTTACATTTTCCTCAGAAGACCATAACTTGTTAGGCTTGGGGCAGTAGTCAGTGTAACCAGTGTTACACTGTGTTAGGCTGAATATCGATTACATTACTTGCGGGGGACCGTTGTTATTTTGCTTTTTTAGAGAAATAAAAAAAACATTTAATTCAGTTGGACAACAAACGCTAAAATTATAAACTGAAAGCATCTGCTCTGCTCCATACAGCACGAGCTGCAGAGTCGCAACAGGAATCAGATTTCACGTATCCCGAGAGTAAGGAGAGATGACCGACAGGACGATGTCAGAAGATCTGGTGTGTAACAGATCCTCAGCGTCATCTGCAAATATCTTATCTTGTAAAATGTGTGGCCGCAGCTCCCTATACACAGAGTACGTGTGATCGTGAATTCGACAGCGAAAGTGAAAAGCGAACGCGCATTCAAAATCGATATCATTAACACGGATACAGATAGCGATACAATAATCGAGCACCCCCATGAATCGATATCAAATCGCAAGTTTGTGAATTGAAATCGAATCGAATTGTCGAAGTCTACTCACCATTCCTGTCTTCTGACACACACTGCACTTGAAGCTTAAAGCACTGAGGCATTTCTGACTGCAAAACTCCTTCAAAGTCCCTGACATGTCCACCGGGCCAATTACAGTGTTATGCTGGTCACAAATCTCTCTGAAGGTAAAGAAGGTACATCAAGTCAATTCATTCCAGCAATATACAACTATACAGTTGAATGAAATGTCGTAAGCGTACTTAAGGCAGCAGTGACATGTTTTCGTCTTGCTGCTGCAGAGACATGCAGGTGAGCAGAAGAGTTTAGAAGAGCCACTGCGCTGGAACGCTGTTTGTCCCTTCAGCAGGACCTTATTACAGGCTGTGCACAGCAAACCAGTTCGCTTAAAAGGTTGAATAGGTTTGGCTGAGACGTCTACTGGATCTCCTGTGACATAAAGAGGATCATGTAAGAATGCAAGAACTGACTTTAGACCCAAAAAGTTGCTTTTTATCCTGTTTGAAGGATGGTTACTATGAAATTATGACAAAGTCACATGAGTTTGGAACAAATGTATAAAAAAAAAATTAATATATTTATCCACTGTGTATATATATATTAGGGGTGTAACGGTACACAAAAATCACGGTTCGGTACGTACCTCGGTTTTAAACTCACGGTTCGGTACGTTTTCGATACAGCAAAAAGAAAGAAATGCCAGAGAAATGTCCTATTTGTTAAAAGAAAAAATATTTTTAAATAACTGAGTTTTCCTACATCTTGAAACTTTCAGGTTTATAAATAGGGGTCATCTTTGAAGGATGAACAAATAATGTTTTGGTCATCACATTAAAAATAACATTTAAATATATATTTATTTATATATTATTTGAGTTTGGAAGTGCTGGAAAAAGATGTGTGAAGTACTTGAAAGCATTTCACTATTCCAGCCAAACTGGTTACATTTAGTGTTACTATATTAAATCCATGGTGAATGTTGCTGGTCTGTGGACGTAAAGTATTACTAGTTCATTCACGGCACAATGTTTCTCCTGGTGTCCACGTCAGCGCTGTTTGATCTAATAGAGATCTACGGTTAATAACGGAGAAATGTGAATGCTTCTCACTAGATCTCGCAGCGATGTTATTACTTCAGTGGCGAACTCAAATGTTTTCTTCACTGGATCTCTCAGCGCTGTGATGCAACAGTGTCGCTTTCGAGATCGGCTCCCGCTGCACAGATGTTGCTGGTCCGAACTAATAAACGATCCGTGAAGCACATAATGAGTAACGCAGTTTCGTTCCGCTTTCATTACGTTTGCCATTTGATATTGCGCAACGTTGTGGCGATCGCGCCAGCGCGGATTTTGTCTGCAGGAAAAATGGTCCTAGGAATCGTTCGGTTTGCATGCGCACCGAACCGGAAGCCTCGTACCGAAACGGTTCAATACGAATACATGTACCGTTACACCCCTAATTTACATATATATATATATTAGGGGTGGAACGGTACACAGAAGTCACGGTTCGGTTCATACCTCGGTTCAGACGTCACGGTTCGGTACGATTTCGGTGTGCACTGACAGTAGTTTTATATAATTAGTTTATTAATTAAATTATTAAAAAGACGAAAAGACCATGAGATATGTTTGGTAATTGTACCTGAATGAATTTAAAATTAATTTGCTATTTCAGATCAATATATTTGTTTTCCTTAATTTTAATTAACCCTAACTTTATTCTCATCTGAATTATAAATAATTGATTTCCGTATAAAATAATACTACCATTAAAAACTTTTGTTAACAGTTGTAGGTTACAGTTTGACAAGAGTTTAGAGTGTGACAAAAGCACAATGTAGTGTTTTATTGCGAGTGTACACAAATATAAGTAAACAGTTAGCAGTTTAAATGATGTCCTGTATGAAAAAAGTGACGGAGTCTGTTTTTATGTTTCCACTGTTCGATCGCCCGTGCCTCTTACACACACACACTGTTCGATCGCGCGATTCGCGCCCGCGCCTCTCACTCACACACACACACACACACACACTGTTCGATCGCGGGATTCGCGCCCGCGCCTCTCTCTCTCTCTCTCTCTCTCTCTCTCTCTCTCTCTCTCTCTCTCTCTCTCTCTCTCTCTCTCTCACACACTGTTCGATCGCGCGATTCGCACGCACGCCTCTCTCTGTCTCTCTCTCTCTCTCTCTCTCTCTCTCGCACACGCACACACACACACACACTGTTCATCGCGCCTCTCTCTCTCGCGCGCGCGCATACACACACACACTCCAGCATTGCAATCTTGATCGCAGCCTGTTCATTGCTGCGTTCAGTCACACCAAAAGCGAATAGAGCGAAATGTATCGCTATTTAAGAGTTTTTTTTTTTTTTAAATTAATTTGTACCGTGTATTCTCCGTGCAAATTCGCGCACCGAACCGTGACGCCCGTACCGTTTCGGTTCAATACGAATACATGTACCGTTCCACCCCTAATATATATATATATAAAGCTTACAAATACTGTAATGCTTATACCGATGGATGCGTTGGAAGTATTTACTCCATCAGAGAATGCAGCTCGGATCTTGACATCATCAGGTGTTTGGTCAAAATCCTGAAAGCAGAAACACATTGGGTGTGCTCAACAATAGAAAATAGGTGGCTATTGGCTAACATCAGAAAATGATTATGAAAAGCCAAAAATCAATTTTTCAGCATTACTCCAGTCTTCAGTGTCACATGATCCTTCAGAAAGCATTCTGATATGCTGTTTTGGTGCTCAAAAACATTTCTTATAATTATCAATGTATTATCAAAACAGTTGTGCAGCTTAATGTTTTTTTGTTTTGTTTTTGTTAGCACAGTGATACTTTTTTTTCAGGATTTTTTGATGAACATAAAATTCAAGAGAACTGCAATTATTTAAAATATAAACCGTTCGTGACATTATGTCTTCTGATCTATTTAAGGCATCCTTGTTCAATAAAAGTATTAATTTCTTTAAAAAACAACAACAAAAACTTACTGAGCCCACACTTTTGAATGGTAGTTTATGTTGCTTGACAAATTAATTTTATGACAAAAACAAACGTATAACTTTACGTATAACAAATTTCAGTATACTTCAGTAAAGTCTCTAATAAAGCACCTCATCATCCTTAATGTTTCTTCCTGGGGTCTGTTGTGCTTTCTTCCACTCTTCATCCATTGGTTCATCCTTGATCTTCAAAGGTAGAATGACAGAGGTTGCTTTAATTTTTTGTCAACAACATGTGTTTGATGGATAAATATAAGTGATTTTATGTGCACCATGGATTAGCAAACAAACTCAAACTTATTTTCCCTCAGCAATAAAACATTGATGCTGTGCTTACCGTAAGAGCAGATGATTCCTTAGTCCTGGTATTTACGTCCTTGGCTTTCTTTGTTTCTGTTAAGCAAGAAAAGTATACAAATCATGTTAAAATATAACAAAAATAAACAGTATAACACTTAATAACTTACTATTATTGCTTAATGTAAAGTTGTACAGAAACAGGATTTTGAGCCAACTAAAATGCAATCATTGATTGGTTCAATTACCTGAATCTGCTGGTCCATCGACTTCCATCTTCTCATTGTAATCCTCATTCTGGTCCACTGCCATTTCATTCATGCAGTCCTCAACTTTAGTGATCACAAGCTCTTCTGAAGATTGTGCTGTATCCTCTGCGTTGATCTCTCCGTCCTTGTTCTCCTCTGATTCAATGGCTTCATTCTTATGCTCACCGTGTCCCAGTACACTCCTTTTTACCTCTCTGTCCTGGTCTAGAGGATTGCCTTCTGAAGTAGCAGTAGAATCCATGCTGACAATTTCATCAAGATTTCCTTTCATTTGGAGTCCTATCTCTGCAGGATCATTCTGACAGAAAATAGTCAGTGGAGCAATATTACAATTAAGAAGTAAAACCTAATCACTAACTAATGGTGTGTTCACACCTAACGCGAATTTAATTATTTGCGTGAGTGGATTACATACAAAGTCAATGCAGACGCGAGTAGACGCATCATTCGCGCCGGGCGTTGCGAATGACGCGAATTGGGCGACGCGTTTGCCGCGAACGTCTTCCGCGCAAGTTGAAAAATTTGAACTCGAGCGAATGTTCAAGCGTCTAACTAGACGCGATAGACGCGTATTTGGCGCTCTATTCGCGTTAGGTGTGAACACACCATAACACTTTCAACGTGAGACAATATATGTGAGGACTTACCACTTGGTAGTACCATGTGGGGGGAAGAGCATAGTAGGTCCCAAATATAGATGGAGATGTAGACTGATGAACAGTTAAAATGAGTTTTGACTGACGTTGGCCACGTCGTACAGGGCAGGTTCTGTGGTTCCTTTGCCTTCCTGAAGTTGACTGAAAATCATCTGCGAGATGCACCTCCTCTTCTTCCTTTATATCTCCACAGTCATCTGCGAGATGCACCTCCTCTTCTTTTATATCTCCACAGTCATCTGCTGACAGGGCATCTGGATCACTCACAATCTCCTAAAACGGCAGCAAACAGACGGTATTATAAGAATAGTTCAACCAAATATGAAAATTCTGTCATTATTTACACATCCTCGTGCAGTTTCAAACCTGCATGTTTTTATGATCACCTCTGAACACAATAGGAAATTATTATTTTCTGTATAATGGCAGTTTATTTTGACCATAGAGACTCAAACTCCAAAATTAAATGAACAAAGCACAATAACAGTAGTCCATATGACTTGTGCAGCGTTTTCCAAGTCTTCTGAAGCCATACTATAACATTGTGTGAGAAAAAGACGAAATGTAAGAATTATTACATTGGTTTGATTTTTTTTTTATTGAAGACAGAACAAGTAGCCAACATAGGATTGCATAAAATAGTACAATACAAAATGTAACATTAATTGTTAACAGGGGATCCGAAAATTATTTTTAAAAAAATTAAACAATTTCAGAGAAGACAAAACAATCAAATTCCACTATAAACACCTTAAAGGAGAACTCCGGGCAATTTTTAAGTTAATCTTGATCGTTACACCTTTGTGAGTACTGTCTATAGAAAAAAAAAAAAACGAACCGGATCGGTGCTTGCGACACGGAGCTGTTCCCGCAAATACCCAGAGCTCCCACTCAGCTAAAACGGCAGTTATGGGGGCATAAACAAAAAGAGTGTCTTTTTACCTCTTAACAGACACACAATGCAATTAAAATGTCTGTCCAACATGAACAGGGGCCTTACATGTGAACAAGATGCGTTTAGCAACTTGGCCATTGTTTAAATTCACCTAAATAGTGTTTTAGACGGCAAGCTGTAGTCTCGCGCTGAAGTCCCGTGGGAACTCAGTTGTAGCCGGAAAAGGTAAACTGTGTCCAGGTGGGAGGAGCGCGAAGAGCATGATCGGAGTTGCTTACATGTGAAGAAGCTTGTAGTAACGTAACTATGGAGAATATAATTCAAGTCATAGAAGCTAATGAAATAATTAAAGTTTTGCAAATAAGTCTACAAAAACATTACTGCACAATCTCTCCTAAGCCGCGTGTGACCACATGGAAAGATAAATACAGTTTACATTACCTCCACAGTGGTTGCACCTGTCTTCGTACACGGAATGGCTTTTTTCTTCAACCGGCCCCGGTGTGTTGTGTCTGTGTAGTCATCCTTGTCAAAGTGTTCGCTGCAAATGCGGTAATCTTTAGCGCGTAGTACTTGTATGGGAGTTTGCACATCAAGTTGAAGTACAACTAGCCACAACTGCAGAATCTCGAAGTCATGGAGAGGAAGACGATGAAAATTTAAGTTTTTATATTTTCGCATTCTGTTGCCACAATTCGGAAAAGCACAAACACGAACCATTTCTTCTTCACTTAAGCAACTCCGATCATCACTCTTCACACACTACGCTCCTCCCACCTGGACACGTTTACCTTTTCCGGCTACAACTGAGGACTACAGCTTGCCGTCAAAAAAACACTATTTAGGTGAATTTAAACAATGGCTAAGTTGCTAAACGCATCTTGTTCACATGTAAGGCCCCTGTTCATGTTGAACAGACATTTTAATTGCATTTTGTGTCTGTTAAGAGGTACAAAGACACTCTTTTTGTTTATGCCCCCATAACTGCCGTTTTAGCTGAGACCAAGATTAACTTAAAAATTGCCCGGAGTTCTCCTTTAAAGGGACAGTTCGCCATTCAATCATATTCAACTATACTATAATATGATTGTTATATTCAGTTTTTAAGTAATCGCTCATGTAAAAAAATATTATTAGGCTACTATATTAATATTACTTGCGCTACGCCAGCGTCCTACGCTGGAACGCCAGTCTCTCGTGAACGCGTGTGTGACAGTTAGTAACTAACACTGGACGATCTCACTATACTGCTTGCATACATACATTTGTGTGTGGTAAACACAGGCTGGGCACAGCTGTTTTTTTTTTCCAGTTTTCGACGTATCTTTCCCGGACCCGGTCTGAAGTCGTCTGGTGAAAAATGCTCACTGCACAATGTCAGTAGACGGGCGATTTGAGGATGTAAATCAACATCTCGCTGAACACATAGCAGCCATAGCTTTAATCGCTCTGGATCGTTTACCGGGAAAGAGTAAAAGTGAATCCTTTTATCTGTCGGCGTTGGTAATGCACTTTTACGTCGCCGTGGTTGTTTTTGGAGATTAGGACATCCGCGACATGCACACTTACGCACCATTAAAAAAAAAATATATAGCAATACACAATTACAAACAATGTAGAATAGCTTGAATACAGCGTGCGTCTCCCTCAGAAGCACTCACTTCCTGATAGCCAAGCGTACTGCGCAGACTCAAACTGAGTTTGACGACGTAGGTGTGACGTAAGCAGCCTGTCTGACAGTTGTAAGTCTTCTAGTAGCAGTGCCAAGAGGAATCTGAATCATTCCCTTCCGAATCTTGCAGAGCCGGAGATCGTGAGTATTAGCTGTCCATGAGCTAGCAGCAGGAGCAACTTTATGACTCTCTATGGGCTTCTCCCTTGACTTTATGATTCTTTATCGATCATTTCAACACTGTTTAATATGAAGTTGGTTTAACGTCAAGACCAATGACAACAATTGACGTTATGAGGCAGAATTTTTTTTTCGGCGAACAATTCGCCTTTGGCTAGGCCCCGCCCCCCTTAGTTACTGTTGCTACGTCCGACAAACAAACTTCATCTGGGCTCTGGTATCAACATGGCTTATGCTGTGACAGCTCTTCCTGCTGAAATTTTATCAAACTTTTATAAAGCAGCAAATAAAGTGTCCGATAGAAGTAGTCAAAAGGGGCTGCGATATACGTTTGAAGGCATACGTTCATGACATACAGGTGAAACGCAAGGAACAACAAGGCATCCAAAATAGAGGCAAAGCATACCGGTCACAGTCAAAAAATGAACCACCGCATATCGTACTAATCGAGACGGAGGCTGGGACTAACAATATCAAGGAGCAACACTGTTCATGCAAAGCTGGGTAGGTCTCTATTCACTTCTATAATCGTTATTACAAAGCAAACGGACTTCGCGAGTATAACGTTGTATTTATTAGCAGCGTGTGCTAGACGACACTTTTAGTTGTCAGGATTTGACTTCGGTTTTGGGAAGGGAAAAAAACGCACACCCCCCTCCAACCTCTCTGGGAAACGCGTATCTGTGTTACAAATGCCCCAGGCACAACGTTTAACCATATTTTTGATAAAACTACGACGGTAATAGCCTGCCGAGACCAAAAATATGAGACGGCTGTGTTAAAGTCAATGGAGCGCTGTGAAAAAGTGTCGGACCTCTGTGGGAGCTCGTTCTTGGCTGCGCTGTGATTGGTCAATCTACATTCTAGGGTGTGGCTTAGCCAAAGGCGAATTCCCTTTAAATGGCTAAGAAAAGATCACAAGACTTTAGAATGCAAAAAATGGAATATGGCCAATGAGTCAATATGAAAATAAGAAGACAACCGCATAAATCATCATCAGATTTTGGAATATCGAAAAATAATTAAAATAATGTAAATCAATAGATTGTCATAATTCATTGTTAAAGGGACAGTTCACCCCCTGACAAATGTCATCTTTTTTCGTAACCTCTCTTGCATTTAATATCTGCAATCTTAATGATTGTAAATCTTAATAAATCGCCGTAATAATAATGCAATCTCGTTCGATCAATAACAGCAGGATAATGAGCTTCACACACACCTCGATTTGTTGCCCAGGCACAGCGGTTGAATTCAGAAATCGTCGAGTTGGTCCCGTGAGATCGTCTGGTGAAAAATGGACACTGCAAACCCTCAATGCGCGGACAGATTCAATGGGTGAGTTTATATCCCGTTTGAGAGCGAGCAGCCACAGCTTCAGTCTCTCTGGATCATGCAGCGGCAATGTGTGGAAAATCAAACTTTCCTCCTTTGACGATGCCGTTGGACGGAGTCTTATTGCTTTCTCTCGGTTGAAACATCCAGGAAAAGCGCACACGCGTACCATTGCGGGAAAAAAAATCGAATTACGATTTGCAGGGACGTACTGCTACGCGCAACGTAAAGAAGCCATGTTTGAAGAGAAGCGGAACGAGACTTAAAAGCTATTGCATTACACAAGATATCCGACTATTCCTCTCATAGAGCTGCCTTTAGGAGGCTTTGAGGCGCACGAGTCACGTGGCCTATTGTTATGGTACTTTCTGGAGCTTGGCAGCTGGCAGTTTTCGTATGGAAAAGGCGGAGCAGCCTGAAACTCTTCTTGTGGTTGTTTACAAAGCAACATATGGTGCATTTCCGCCACCTACTGGATTGGTGCCGCAGTGGTTAACCCTGAAGATGACTTAAAGGGATAATTCACTTCAAAATGAAAATTCTGTCATCATATACGTACCCTCAAGTTGTTTCAAACCTGTATGGATTTCTTTCTTCTGCTGAACACAAAAGATGATATTTTGAAGAATGTCAGTAACCAAACAGTTAACTGGACCCATTGACTTCAATAATATTTTTCCCCTACTATTGAAGTCAATGGGTCCAGTTAACTGTTTGGTTACTGACATTCTTCAAAATATCTTCCTTTGTGTTCAGCCGAAGAAAGACATTCATACAGGTTTAAAACAACTTGAGGGTGAGTATATAATGACAGAATTTTCATTTTGAAGTGAACTATCCCTTTAAACTGGGTTAGTTCACCCAAAAATTAAAATGTTCCCATCTCACCCTCAAACCATCCTAGGTGAATGACTTTCTTATATCAGCTGATCACAATAGGATATTAAATAATACCCTAGCTCTTCCCAGCTTTGTAATAGCATTGAATAGTGCTTGAGTTTTTGAAGCTCCAAAAAGTGCATACATTTATCATAGGGATGCACGATGATATCGGGACAACATCAGTATCGGCCGATAAAAGCTTAAAATGACCATCATCGGCATCGGCCGATATGAATATTTCTGCCGATGAGTCTTGCCGATAGGGTGGCGTGTTTCCTATGCGCACGTGACGACCGTGAACGAAGCATGAGCGCCAGCAACTTAAACTTCCAACTAGGGGTGTGCGTCTCACGGTTTTTGATCGTGGACGATTAAAATGTCTCCACGATCTGCTTTTGAAGAAAAATCATAGTATCGTGCATTCTATCAGTTCAATTCTGGCGCCTTCATCTCAACATACTGTACAACGCGACGTACATTCACATCACATGTAAATGCAGAGGTAGAGTTACACTCACGGGACACTGCAATTCACAAAAGTTCATTGTTTGCATGTGCGTCAAAGTCTTGCTAGGTAAACATGTCATTCACGTGCTGATGCGCTGTTCTAACATCCGCTTTTCTGAGCGCGTACACGCGACGCTCACAGGAACTAAAAGCCTGTCACAGCGCCTGCATACTGGACTAATCTTTCGAGTCTTATTGCGCTGATACTGTCAAATACACACAAGGTTTACATAAACAAAGTTGGTTATGTCTAAAGTGAAAGCAAACAGAGAAAATCTGCTTGTCAAATGCGTGTATATTAGACGCGTCACGTTACTCGCGTGCAGTTCTTAAAGAGACAGTAATAATATTCTGCCGCTTGTCTTTAAAGAGATACTGCACCCAGAAATAAAAATTCTGTCTATCTAATGTTGTTTCAAACCTGGATTCATTTCTTTCTTGTGCTTAAATATACTATGGAAGTCACTGGAGTACAGCAACTGTTTGGTTAGCCACATTCTTCCAAATAACTTTTATAATTTCAACAGAAGAAAGAAACTTGAGAGAGTAAATGATGACAATTTAAATTTTTGGGAGAACTATCCCGTTAATGTTAATAAAACAACAAAACACAGAGGAAATCACTCACTGCTCTTGACTGAGAACATTAATAGAAGCTTTAATAAGCTTTTTTTGCACTAAAAAAAACAAACAAATATATTGATATCGGTATCGGGCAAAATTAGTTTGAAAATATCGGCATATCGAATATCGGCCAAAATCCTATATCGTGCATCCCTAATTTATCATAAAAGTAATCCATATGACTCCAGTGGGTTAATAAATGCCTTCTGAAGCAAAGCGATGGGGTTTTGTAGGAAAAATAATCCATATTTAAAACTTAATAAACTATAATAACTGGCTTCTGGCAACGGTCGTACACGCGTTCACAGGGGAGTTAAAGGGTCTTGAAACCCCAAAACACATTTTTTGAGATGTAAACAGGCTGCATATCACTGAAAACATTAACCAGCACTGTGAAGCACATTTAATCAAGTCTTCTTAAAATTAAATATAAAATAACCCAGATAGCAAAGGTACGTCAAAGGACAAGTTCGGTATTTTACACTTAAAGCCCTGTGATAAGATCGTTTGCCTGTTTTTTTAAATTTGGACACATGCTGCTGGCCCGAGAATTTTCGGTTTCTGTGGTTGCACCCCCACTCCCACTCCAGCCCAGTTGGTGACGATAATGCACCTTTGCCAATTGCAAGCAAACCCCTGGCATTTCATTGAATACACAGGAAAAAGCAGAAGATTGCCGTCTTATTTGAAAACATTTCAAATTGGGTGTGCTGTGAGGTGCGGTATTACTCCGCCGTGGGAAACGGAAATGGGGTTGTTTGTATTCTTTCTGTAGTCTTATGCAGTCGCGATATCGTAGGCTACGCTATCCAAACATTTTTAAAAGATCAAAGCTATCCGTGTCAACTTGGAAATGGATTCCGAGACATTTGTATGGGACGACGATGGTTTTGAGATCGATTTTGATGGACAGGGTTACAGGTTTGAACCTGAATATTCAGAGGAGGAATTCCTGCAAAGAAAGGCAGAGTTTGAGCTGCAGTTGTGCACGGAGTTCCAGATATTTAGAGGTCCTCTCATAAGATCTAAGAAATAATAAATATGCTGGGTACGTTCATTGAATCTAATGTTCATAGAACAAATCTACGTACGGGTTAGGACTGTTGTGGAGTGCGGCTAACAACTAACTTAGCCAACGCGTTAGTTTTTGGAAGTCACACAGGGGTATTTGATAGAGAAAGCACAAAGTACATTAGCGCCACAATGTATATGAGGTATGTACAAAGTATATGCTATTCTGGGCCAACACATTGGATCTGACTTCATATGACATAATAGAGTATGGCAATTCCTTAATGTCACGTCCATGGCTAATGCTAAAATGTCTTGAAACTTGCACGATGTGAATGATAGCCTACGTGAATCATTACGTTTTCATCATGAAAGTTCCACAGCCAAAAAAATAGTAAACGCACAAAATCATGTTGCCAAATTATTCATGTAGGCTAGGGTTAGTGTTAGGCTTATGATGTTATGAACATGACAGGTTATGGACATAACAAATAAGTTCATTTTCCGCCTGTTACAAAATGTCAAGCTTACCAAAAGTTCTTCCAACTCTGTCGTCCCAGAACGTAATGTGGGAACCGCTGTTTTTATCAGGCGAAAGAGCTTTTTGGGCGATTTCTTTTGACCTCCAGCTAAGTCCTCATTAGTAAAATGTAGACCGCAGACACGGTGATCAGCTTTCTGCAGAACCTCAACAGGTGTGCTCACATCCAACCCCAGAAATTCCAGCCACAACTTTAGCCTTTCTGGATTGTTGAAAGGAAGTCTGTGACAACTTGTTTTGCCACGAATTTTCCCGCAATTCGGAACTGCACAAAATCGTCCCATTATTAGTCGTTTCTTCTTCTTTTGTTTTTTTTATGGCGGTTGGCAAACCAACTTAATGGTGCATTAATTAGCGGTTTCAAATGCTTTCAAATAAGACAGCGATCTTCTGCTTCTTCTGTGTATTCAATGAAATGCCAGTGGTTTGCTTGCAATTGGCAAAGGTGCATTATCGCCACCAACTGGGCTGGAGTGTCTATTATTCAAGCTCTCAACGGAAGAATGTACGGGTGCGAGGCGTTTGGAAAAATAGGTCCACAGTTTTACAACGAATGGTAAAACACCTGTTGGAAAGCATCTTTTGCAGCGATTTTTGTGTGAACATATCAGTGAACACCCCAGACCACTCGGTGAGTTTCACGTCTTTGTAAACTAAAGTTTAATGTGTTTTAGGAATGATTGTTCCAGTGCACCTATGCAACCATTGTGGAGGTGGGGGAGGTGCTACCACAGAAACCGAAAATTCTCGGGACAGCAGCATGTGTCCAAATTTCAATCTTAACCGTTCTATTTGATCAGAAACGATTTTAAAACAGGGCTTTAAGTGTAAAATACCAAAGTTGTCCTTTAAAGGAACACTCCATCGTTTTTTCATATTAAACCGTGTTAATAGGCTTGTTTGAGATGAGCAAAATCTGCGCAGAACCGATCACCGGTGATCAGCGCGAGATGCATGCCGGTTAGTAATGTGTCCGAGTGCAGTCCGACTTGCTCTGATGTCATGCTGACGTATGTCAAAAAACTCTCGCGACCGCAAGGCGCACGTGTCGGATTCTGCAGTCGCGCCAGTTGCTCTCCACCGACTGCGCTGATCAAAAGCATGAAGGGAAACGACTTACTGACGACAAAGCTTAATGCTGATTGCTTTAAACAACCGTTATGTATTGCTCTCTTTTAAAGGGTTAGTTCACTCAAAAATGAAAATGACGTCATTAATGACTCACCCTCATGTCGTTCCAAGCCCGTAAGACCTCCGTTCATCTTCTGAACACAGTTTAAGATATTTTAGATTTAGTCCGAGAGCTTTCGGTCCCTCCATTGAAAATGTATGTACGGTATACTGTCCTTGTCCAGAAAGGAAATAAAGACATCATCAAAGTAGTCCATGTGACATCAGTGGGTTAGTTAGAATGTTTTGAAGCATCAAAAATAACAAAAACTACGACTTTATTCAGCATTGTATTCTCTTCCGGTTCTGTTGTCAATCCGCGTTCACGAGTCTGCAGCGACGCTGCTGACGTAAGACGCTGCTGACGTGTCTCTGGTGCGTCCGTGTATTCGGGTTCAAATAAATATGGCTGGGCAAAAAAATGCAAGTCTTCCTCTGTGTCGAAATCCTTTCACATGTTTGCAAAGATTGTTTTGTTTACAGCGTGCGTCTCCCTCAGACTGTAAACGAAGCTCGGGCGCACCAGATACACGTCAGCAGCGTCTTACGTCATCAGCATCACTGAACGCGGCTCGA